CCTTGCCATATCTCCATGGCAGTCTTGAGATGCTTGATTTTGGAGAAGGTGATGGGATCAAGTGTCTTGAAAATGGCTACTTTGGCGACGTTGTCCAGATTGTGCTTTTTACAATCTCTATCATCCCATTTTTCCTTGGGCTTTGGAATGTACTGGATTACATCAGGAGTTGCTGGATTCCTCTAAGGATTCTCCATTTGGATTTTCAAGGGTCCATCCTCAAGCACCATCCACATGCAGTCATGTAGAGCGTAGAGATGTGCTTCCATCATGATCTTCCAATCATCATAACCTAAGAGAGAAAACTTGGGCAAACCGTGATCCATATTGTTCACCATTATGATCGCTTCTCGTTAATCTAAACGTAGATAGTGAGAAGTTTGCTCCGATACCAATTGGTGGTCCCAAAGTGGTGAAATACAAAGTCTAGAGGGGGGGTGAATAGACTTTGTTACAGATTTAAAATCTTTTTCGTTTCTTTTGAAAACGTAAAAATGAATGTTAATCTAGAGTCCTTGTGAACTTTAGATTGTGTGCAGAATTTGGTGGGTGGAGTGACCAGTAATCAATATGGATGGGTTAGTTTTCACAGTTAATATATTGCAAGTAAAAATAAAGATATAAGAGAGAGACACGCAAACTTTAACGAGGTTCGAAGGTGGGGTAATCCTTCTACGTCCTCAAAATCCACTATGTAGTTGGTTGTTGAATAATGAACCAACAATTACACTTGTGTGAAGATCTGCACGGTATATCTTCACAAGACCAATGTTGCTACTGCACTCGTGCTGGCTTTGTTGTTCCTTCGTAGGTCAAGCTTCTTCAACAACTGCAAGGTTCGAACAATAGGACTTGCAAGATCAACTTGTAAGAGAGTTGACCTACCCCCTTTTTAATCAATAAGTTTGTTCAAAAGTAATATCCTTCAACGTGGTGTGGTGCTTGAGGCAAGGAAACCTTCAAGTGTTTACACTATAGCTCTTTGGAAGGGGGAGAAGTTTGCTTCTGGGTAAGGAGTTTAGAAATCTCTCTTTATCAAGCTTTTTGGGCTAACTGTGAATGAGATAGCTTTGTTGTTAGAGATTGCTTCGTTGTGTTGTTATATCTCATTTTTTTTTCTCCAGTCTTCTAAGGATGCTATTTATAGCTGGATTGGATAATCTATCCGTTGAATCAAAATAGACTATCCGTTGCATTTGCTGGCTTCAATTTTGAATGAAGATTGTGATTTGAAGATTCCTCATTGGAATGGGTGTTTGGACATACCCATTTGTTAAAGGAGAGATTCCCTTTTTCCATAGAGTCCGTCTTCTAGCTGCTGTTCAAGTATTCTGGACTGTAGAACTTTACTTTATTTGTCTTCTAGTGCTTGTTTAGGAATTCTGGACAGGTTCTTCAATTTTTAGAGATTCAGACTTTGTCTTCGAGTCATTTGTTCTTGAATCAGCATAATTATCTTCAATCTAGCCGTTGAAAATCAAGAGATTGATTTTTCCTTACCAACGGGTAGAATTTCTTCATTCAAGACTTAGATAATTTTCTAAGTCTTTTCTCACTTGTCCGCTTTTTGAGAATTCCGGTCTTCCTTGAGGCATCCGGTTCTTAGCTGACAAATCCGGAGGAGTCATTCTCAGACTTCCGGGTGAGAGAGAGATCCGCGCTAGTCTTCCGATTTGGGTGACTTAGCCTTCGGCGGGTTGTAGCGAGACATCCGGTTCTTATGTAGTCTTCCGGAACAGAGGATTTTCATCTGCTTGAGAAATCCTTACTTGTCTCTAGCATTTCCGATTAAGATATCCAATTTCCATATCACTGAATTTGATTAAGTCTTCAGGCATCAAAACGCTTAAAGAAATATCACAACCTTATTGGAAAACTCAAGAACTTAGTTTTAACAATATTTCTAAAAAGAAAAATTACATTGAATATTGGGGGAGACCTAAAGTCCCTATTACATTCTAAATACATCATCATCAAAATCTATGATATTTTTCCCAACAATTATCAAAACCTGTTACAAAAACGAACACGACTTTAGTACAAAAACGTGACAAGCCCGTGTTTCAACAATTTCCCCCTTTTTGATAATGGCAAACAAGACGAGGTTATGCATAGGAGGATTTAAAAAAAATGTTCCCCCTTAATAAATTTTATTTTTAACAAAGTGTTTGAGAAAAAAAATTCCCCCTCAATTAATGCATAACCTTTATATCTTCCCCCTTTTGTCATTAACAAAAAGATTTAAAAGTAATTTTTATTCATTAAAAGGGAAATGCGGAATACAACGGAATGGGAATAATTAAAAAAAATACAATCATATTAGAAGAAAGAAGATTCTAGGAGTCGGCGTCGGCGTCCTCGCCGTCATCCTCGTAGTCCTCGACGTCCATGGGATCGCCAACGACCGCATCTTCAAAGTCGGCCTCGTCGGGGGAGGAGGACGGAGCATAGGAGTCGTCGTCCTCATCCTCGCCTTCAAAGTTTTGGCCGAGAATGGTGCTGTCGAAAGGTGGCGGAACGTAGTTGACGCCACGGAAGTATGTCATCATGTCGTGGTGTTGGCGTTGTCATGTCCAGTCCATCCGCTCGATTGACTGCCCCATGCCATCCACTGTGAGGGTTAGCCGATTCAGAGTATCGGCTATGGATTGCAAAGAGGCCTTGCCGGGAGTGGGGGCTGGTGCACGACTTGGGCCTGCGCCGTCCCGGTCTCCGGACTTCTTCCGGAAGGTGCTGTCTTGAATGATCCAAATCTTTGTCATCTTCGTATCCGGGCCAGCGAAGGAGATGTCGGCGGAGATGATGAGGTCCATGACGAGGAAGGCGTATGGCAAGCTCCACTCAGTGGCGATGGAGGTGCAATCCGCCATGTGGATCATCACGAATTTCGCCCAATTGGTGGAGGTGCCGTGGATGATGGCGTGAATCGCCTTCAAGTCCTCGTTGAAGAGCGAGGTATGGCTGCTGTCCCGAGGGCGGAGAATCCGGGTGATGATGTAGAGAAGGAGGCGCTTGTCCGGTGGGGCCGAGTGAATTGTCGGCGCGCCGCTGTGGTGGATCAAGTTGGTGATCCCAAGCTCACGAATGACGACCGCCTCGTTGTTGAGGATCCAATCGTCGCCACCATATGTCGCGATGTCCTCACCGCGGATGGGCAGCCCTGCGACCCGAGCAAAGGTAGGCAAATCAATCTCTATGTTGTAGAGATTTATGCTGCTGCGTATGGTGTCCCCGTCACGGCGGAGATTGGAGTAGAAGGCCCGGACGAAGGCGGGATTGAAGTTTGAGCGGCTCTTGGAGACGAATGGCCACAAACCCGACGCTTGGAGTTGGTTGTCGAGGTCGTGATACCCTTTGTCTTGGGGAAACAACTCTGGGAGCACGCGAGGCGGAGAGATCGGGCGCTTGGCGAAGTGAGTGAGGAAGCGGGTTAGTTCTTCCTCCGAGCCAAACTCCAAGAAGGATCCGTCCAAATACGGGAACGGAGGAGGCACAGAGTTTGAGGGTTCGGCGGTGCTTTTCTTCTTGGAAGCCTTTGACTTTGATCTTCCTCCGGCCATGATTGAAGCGTTTTTGAAGAAAGATTGATGAAATAAGTGGTATAGGCTAAAGAAATGAAATAATGATGTTAATTGTGTGTTGAGAAGGTAAGGGATGATGTGAATATATAGGGAGAGGAGGAAAAAAATGTGTGAATTCAAAAAATATGGTTGTTGGGCATTAAATTCGGTGCCCAATGGCCATAATTTTTGAATTTCAACAGCCTTCCCAGCAATGGTAGGAACTACCCATCGATGGGAGGGTCGCTACTGGAAAGCGAGGAGAAAAGTAATGCTGCCTTCCCAGCAATGGGTAGATCTTCCCATCGATGGGAAGGAGGCTTCTGGAAATCAGTTAAAAGGTTTTTAAAAAAATAGTGTCAAACACCCAGCGATGGGATGAAGTGCCCATCGATGGGTTGGGAGGTTCTGAAACAAAAGCAAGCACTCACCCAGCGATGGGACTACTCCCGTTCCAGCACGCTTAACTACAGAGTTCTGGAGTTAAAGAGGTTCCAAATGCTTCCTAAAACCAATTGGTGATAGGGAGGTGGACACTTTGTATTTAACCACATTTCTCTATAGCCCCAAGCCGAGGTAGATTCCTATAGGGCACCCCCTATAGTTCACTACGGCAGAGCGGAGCCCCACTAGTGAGCGATGGATGGACAGGAGGGGCTTCGCAAGATACACGACTCGTGTACCTCGTCAGGTTGGGCTGTCAGTACCTGATACCGTGACTAGCATAATAGCGAATCCCTAAGGGTGATCGATGGTCCCCCATAAGACCAACAATCTCCCCCCCAGCGACACCCGGGGGATTCGAGCCTGCTTCCTCGCTCCGATACCACTTGAAGGATCGTTTTCTGGAACTTCCCAGTGGTTCACCCATCCTGGGACTACTCCCGTTCTAGCACGCTTAACTACAGAATTCTGAAGTTAAAGAGGTCCCAAATGCTTCCTAAAACCAATTGCTGATAGGGAGGTGGACACTTTGTATTTAACCACATCTCTCTGTAGCCCCAAGCCGAGGTAGATTCCTATAGGGCACCCCTATAGTTCACTACGGCAGAGCGGAGCCCCACTAGTGAGCGGTGGATGGACAGGAGGGGCTTCGCAAGATACACGACTCGTGTACCTCGTCAGGTTGGGCTGTCAGTACCCGATACCGTGACTAGCACAGTAGCAAATCCCTAGGGTGAACGATGGTCCACCATAAGACCAACAAAAAAAATTCCCCCTTAATAAGAATTCCCCCTTAAATGCATAGCCCTTATCTTCCCCCTTTTGAGATTAACAAAAAGATTTTTAATAACAAAAACTATAAAGATTTTTATTAATTAATTAAGGGAAATAGCGGAGTACATAACGGAAGCAAATTTAAAAAGCATAAAAACAATAAAGAAGAGAAGGGAATAGAGCTAGAGCTCTAGAAGTCGGGTGAAAGATCATTGAGAAGCTATTCTTCGTCAATGTCTTCGTCTTCCTCTTCATCACCACTGCCATCATCATCATCATCATCATCGGCTTCCGCTTCCTTGTCTTCTTCCTCCTCCTCATTGTCCACCTCTTCATCTCCCCCAACGTTATTAGTCCCGCTTGGTGCACCCCCGACATTCGGTGGAAGAGCGTAGGGGACCATTTGAGCGTAAGGGTAATTGACAAAGTCAAAGTACACATGAAGCTCTCGGCTCAAAATATTTACATTTTGGGCCGTTTGGGAGACGTTGGTGTCAATCCGAGAGAGAGTGGCGGTCAAGGCTGCCATTTGCTCGGCAAGAGAAGGGTTGGTCGAAGCGGCGGCGGTCGAGGCAGTGGCTCTCGGTTGGCGGCGAGGACGAGACTGCGGGAACGTAGCTTCATCAGTTCCCGGGTGGAAGGAAGACTCGTCAATCTCCCAATGCTTCGTTCCTTTGCATTTGGGCCCGACGTCCGTCTTGATGTGGAACTCATCAAGGATCGCCAGGACAAGGAGAGCATAGGGGAGCGGCCGGTTGTCGGAGCTGGCGTTGAACATGTGAGTCTGTTAGTCGGTTTAGACATTGTGCCCACGCCTTTTAGGGGGGGTGAATAAGGCATTTAAAATCTTTTCGGAGTTTGATAAAAACGGTGTTGGGAAATGCGGAAGCAATATATAAAACGCAGAAATAAAAGCGTAACTAAAATGCACACCGATTTTATACTGGTTCGGGAAACCCCTACTCCAGTACCTCAAGGCTCCTCCTCAAGGATTTCTGAATCCGCTAAGTCCCGGCCTCTTGAACTCCGTCAAAGCACCGCACTAGTTTTGGCAAACAACCCTTGCCAATAGGATTCACTTCGAGATTTCACAACGGCTATCTCGAGTCGTTTACAATGAAGATTTAACGGCTATCTTCTACCGTTCCCCCAAGGATTTCAAAGGCTATCCTTGAACCTTTACCCAAGGGTTTATACGACTATCCTCGACCGATACAATATGAGAATTTAACGGCTATTCTCGACCGTATAAAGATGTGTTTGAAAAACACAAACAAGAGTTCTACACAACGGCTTGAATATAAAAATGAAGAACAAAACTTAGCCGGTGTAGAAGGAAATTATACTCTCTCAAAAATACAATATAAACTTATGAATATGAGAGTATATAACTAGAAACACAAGCTCAAAGTGTGTGTATAAAAATTAGGAATTTAAGGCTCTTAAAATAGCCAAAATATTTAAAATAATTAATAAAAGGATGAACACACTTAGAATAGAAAGAGAGGATGTTTAGAGCTTTGTTTCTTGAAAAAATATGAAGGATTAGGCTTGTATTTATAGTGGAAGATGTTAATTAGCCGTTGGGAGGTGATTAGGATTGATTAAATTCAAAATCANCTATCCTCGACCGATACAATATGAGAATTTAACGGCTATTCTCGACCGTATAAAGATGTGTTTGAAAAACACAAACAAGAGTTCTACACAACGGCTTGAATATAAAAATGAAGAACAAAACTTAGCCGGTGTAGAAGGAAATTATACTCTCTCAAAAATACAATATAAACTTATGAATATGAGAGTATATAACTAGAAACACAAGCTCAAAGTGTGTGTATAAAAATTAGGAATTTAAGGCTCTTAAAATAGCCAAAATATTTAAAATAATTAATAAAAGGATGAACACACTTAGAATAGAAAGAGAGGATGTTTAGAGCTTTGTTTCTTGAAAAAATATGAAGGATTAGGCTTGTATTTATAGTGGAAGATGTTAATTAGCCGTTGGGAGGTGATTAGGATTGATTAAATTCAAAATCACAAATCAGGAACAGTAATCCAACGGTCACGGTAGGGGGGTCCCGTCCATACGATAAGGGGGTCCCGTCCATACGGTAGGGGGTCCCGTGCTTACGGTAGCTAGGTACCTTCTCAGGCCAAAACTCTCTGGCGGTACCTATCTTAGTACGGTACCCCTTACGGTAGGGGGGTCCCGTCCATACTGTACCTAGGTACCTTATGACCATTTTGACAATTTTTTTATTTTTGTCCAAATCATTTCCAAATTTGTTTAAAACCTTTTGGATGTTTGAAAATGATTATAAAAGGGTTTTAAACATGTTTTGTGAGTGTTTTTGAGCTTGTGAATATAGGTATATAAAATCATATCCTTACATTGGTTTCTACCTATATTCTATGCTAGTTTAGTGTTTCAACTTCATTCTTGAGTCTCGAATCTTAATGGATTCTTGCTTTTCCTGAAACACTTAAACAAACGTTAAGCTCTTATATTGTTTGTTAACATCAAAACATGAGGCTTAGCAAACCAAGGCTAACAGAGTCATCACAAATTTACACCAATTGAGATTGGCGTTGTGAATCATCGCATGAATTGTCTTCGTGTCCTCCTGGGAGAGAGTGGTGTGATTGAACTTCCTAGGCTTGAGAATCTGTGTCAAAACATAAAAAATGAATCGAAACAAGGGACTTGTGGAAGCAATCGTAGGGCGCCGCTGTTGGGAAGTGGGGACGAAGTTTCGGATGCCCACTTCCTCCAAGAGGGCGGTCTCGTTGAACCGCGCTCCTTCTTCTCCGATGTAGAGCCCGAGATCCTGTCCGTCCCGATGAAGCCCGGTGAGAATTTGAATCTTTTCCTCATTCAAATAGATGTCCACCCCATTGACGTTAGAAATCAATGCTCCGTCCTCATCCTTTTTCAAGTTCGAGTAGAAAGCTCGAACAAGAAAAGGGTGATAATGAGCCTTCTTGATGTAGAGGAGGTCGAGGAAGTTTCCACGTTTGAGGATAACCCATGCCTCACGTGGAATGGAATCATGAATGAAGCGAGCGGTGGAGAATCGGGGAGGGAGAATTTCCTGGTGCTCAAACTTCTCCGAGAACCGCCTCGCCTCTGCGCGGTCGTTGAACCAAAGGAACGACCCATCGAGGTACTTGTGCGCCGGTGGTGGAGGAGCTCAGGAGGAGGCAGCGTTCTTGCCGGTGCGGGAGCGCTTTCTTTGTTTGCCTGCCATTGCAACAAGAGAGGGGAGAGAACCAATTTGCAGAAATTTTATATATAAAAAAAATGAAGAACTATTGCAAGAATGATTAATTATGATGAATATATTGAGACAGGATGATTGGAATGAGTAAATATTGAAGGGATATCACCAATTTATAGTGGAGGAGGCCTGAAGATCCGTTGGTGTGGTCAAATGTGGGTTTAATGCAGTTCCAACGGTTAGAAAACGGTCAGATTTTTTAAAATCTGCCGTTGGTAATCGATTTACCCAACTTGTAAATCGATTATCTAAGTCTTCAGATTCTCCACCGAAAGATCTGCAGACTTCAATAGTCGATTGCCTTGTTTTAGTCAATCGATTGTTGGAGTTTACGCCTCACTTCAGAGAAAGTTCTGCAGCTCCATATAATCGATTATCATGACTTGGATAATCGATTGTTGAGGTTTTGCGATGGATTTGCTCCAAACTTCTGCGGACAGTGTTAATCAATTATTACAAGGTTGTAAATCGATTTACACTCAGTCCTGGGAACTTGAAATCGATTTCTTTTGTTCCCCCTGGCTTCAACACCTACAATGAAAGCATTTGGTACCCGTTTGGTCTTTTGGGTCCTTGAGGATTAGTAACACGACTTTTTGAACTAATAAACACACGCACTCATAATTACATACACATGGTACGCAAACACACACACACACATGTACCAACACGTGTGTTTAAGTGTTACCTTGGCCAGCTCGTCGTTTTGCGGTTGGCGGGTTCCAGTCTACTCGAACCGAATGTCTATACCTCGGTTCGATTTGTGTGGGTTCCGGAAGTGGTATGTGAATCTTCTTCTTTTCATCATAATAGAAGAAGTAATATGGTTTCTTTTGCGTTGATTCCTGCAGGGATTGGTCAGAGTTCGAATATCCTTTTTCAAAGGATTTCATTAGGTTAGTTCCATGCAAAGTGTGTGTTTTGTTATACGTGTAATGCCTATGCCTACTAAAACACACGGGTGCTATATGACCTACCCTATTGAAATAATGACAAATAACATTTGGATTATGCATTCTCCTAGGTTGATAAGAGTTGTTAGGTTTTCTAACTTGACCATTGTTCATCCTAGTGTTCTTTCTAGGTGGTATAGTGTTCCTAATTGTTCTAGATTGTCTATTTTCTTGATTTTCATTATTCGTCAGTTGAGGTTTAGGTTTCCTAGATGGTTGCTCAACTTTTTCCTTATTATTAGGTTCATTTTCAAAACCTAAGCCATGTTTAGTAAGTTGCAAATTGTCAAGAACATCATTAAGGTTTTTATGAGAAACACCAAATTTCTTCAAAGTTCCTTCAAGTTTTGCAACTTGATCCTTAAGTGATATACAAGAACTACATTTTGAACTTTCCAGTTTGTCGGCGCTTCTTTTTTCGAAAAACTTATTTTCTTCTTTAAGTTTTTCATTATCTTTTGATACTTTATCAACTTCCTTCTCCATGGAAGTAAGTTGTTTCTTCAAATCCTTGTTAATTTTAGAAGCGTTGACATATTCATCATAAAGTTCATTAAAGGCTTCTTGTATATCATTAAAAGTATAGGAATCTTTAGAAGTGGTACATACCTCTTCCGGTGGTTCCTCGTGTGCCATGAGGCAAAGGTTGGCGCTCTCATTTTCTTCGCCTTCCAATGACTCGTCGCTGGAATCACCTCCCCATGAGATGTAGGCTCGGTGCTTCTTGAACATTTTCTTCTTGTTCTTGGCGTTTGGACATTTTGGTTTTATATGCCCAACTTCTCCACACCCATAGCATTTGGGTGGACTTCCTTGCTTTTTTCCTTTCCGTTCATACTCTTGGCTCATGAACTTATGGAATTTCTTGAGCACGATCCCAAACTCGTCTTCGTCACTCGAGTCTTCCATAGCACGTTCTTGGCTTGTAGATGCCTTGAGGGCAATCCCATTCTTGTTTTGTTCACCTAGAGAGGGGTAAAGAATGGTAGCCTCATAGGTTTTCAGATTACCTCTAAGTCCGTCGATGGCCTCTAAGTCCGTCGATGGTGATGTTGGTGATGCCGATAGATTCTTGAATGGAATCGGCCTTGGAACGCCACTCCGGTGTGAGGCTCCTTAAGATTTTTCTTACGAGCTCCTTGTCCGTATATGTCTTCTTGAGGGCATGAAGGTCGTTTACGATTTTTAAAAATCGTTCAAACATATCACCGATTTTCTCATTTTCCTTCATACGTAATAATTCATACTCATGGGTTAGAAAATCTATCTTAGCTTCTCGAACTTGATTCGTACCTTCATACGTAATTTCGATCTTATCCCACATATCCTTAGCGGTGGAACAACATGAAATTTTCCGGTAGTCATCCGGATTTACTGCACAATAAAGAATGTTGATAGCCTTGACGTTGTTCTCTATTTTCTTGATATCCTGCGCATCGTATTCGTCTTCGGTTTTGGGAACGGTGGTTTCCCCAACTTTCTTCATGGGCACTTCTTCCCCATTCTTGATAATTCTCCATAGGAGAAAGTTGTTGGATTCGATGAAAATTCTCATTCGCTCCTTCCAATATGTGTAATTCGTTCCATCAAATAATGGAGGCCTCGTGGTGGATTGCTCTTCTCCTAAACCTGCGTATAAGTTTTGAGTAGAAGCCATTGATCGTTTCTCTCAAACGGTTAAGTCTTTCAGAGAGTATGGCTCCGATACAAATTGTTAGAATAAAGGCCCAACGCTAGAGGAGGGGTGAATAGCGCTTAAAACAAAATCGCAGGAAATTAAAACGAGAGCCTTAAAGTAAAGAGCGTAAGGAAGGAGCACACCGAATTTTATCCTGGTTCACCACAATGTGTGGCTAATCCAGCCTTTCGAGAGACTCTCTCGAGTTACACTAACTCGGTTAAGCTTAAGGGTGCTCAACAAACCGATACAACTTGAGAACTCGAGTCACACGACCCTCAACTCCTTTGCTCGGAGATACCGCACTCCAAGACTTCTCACGAAGGAACAAGGAACTTCCTTCGAGTTTACAACAAGGGAACAACCTCCCTTAAAGTGTATGAAAACACTTAAACATTCAGGAATAAAACTCTCACAAAGATTAGATATGAGTGAACTAGTAAACGCTCAAGAACACGACAATTTCTTCAAGAATTGGCTCTCAAATAGCTAAGAAAAATAGGAATGCTTATGCAATGAAAGAGTATTGAAATGTTGAAGAATTGTGTGTAAAATGAGAGGATTTGGGTGCCATTTTATAGCTCAAAATGGGATAAACCCGTTGCTAGAGTTTCCAACAGGATGAAGACAAATTTTTCAGAGACACAGGGTGATAGTCGATTGTCAAAGCTTGATAATCGATTATCCAAAGATTCCCTGTCCAAAAATTTAAAATTCTATCCGTTGGAGGACAACGGTAACCCAGATAATCGATTGTCAACAAGTGATAATCGACTTTTGGTCCTGTCAGAAGATTCTGGGTTTTGGCTGCACAGACTGATAATCGATTATTGGAAATGTGATAATCGACTATTGCTGTAATACCTCGTATCAAGATGGGAATGTGAAAAGCTCAAAAAGATTGATAGTACTACTAATACCAACAAGGTCTGTCTTCTTTTCGAGAGCTCATCACCTAGAAACTCCAGAGTTAAGCGTGCTTGACCTGGAGCAATTGTAGGATGGGTGACCCCCTGGGAACTTTCCTTGGGCACGCACGAGTGAGGACAAAGTGCGCGGGAAAGACTTGTGTTGGTTTGTGGGGCCAGTCTACAATCCTATGAGCAGACACTTACGGCTAGGGTGGGGGTCGGGGTGTTACAATTGGTATCAGAGCAACCCTGCGACCGTGACGGGCCAAAAGAGCTTAGTTCACCTAGCGGGGAAGATCTATGGGTTCAAAAAAAGGATGCAACGAGGACGTTGCATTTCTAAGTGGGGGTGAATGTAATACCCCGTATCAAGATGGGAATGGGAAAAGCTCAAAAAGATTGATAGTACTACTAATACCAACAAGGTCCATCTTCTTTTCGAGAGCTCATCACCTAGAAACTCCTGAGTTAAGCGTGCTTGACCTGGAGTAATTCTAGGATGGGTGGCCCCCTAGGAACATTCCTTGGGCTGCACGAGTGAGGACAAAGTGCGCGGGAAAGACTTGTGTTGGTTTGTGGGGCCAGTCTACAATCCTATGAGCAGACACTTACGGCTAGGGTGGGGGCCGGGGTGTTATAATTGCCTGGTTCAGAACTTTGGAGTTCAATGCTGCAGAGGTAGATAATCGATTTTCACCAAAGTGATAATCGATTATCACCTACCTAAAGTCTAGCTAGCTGAAACCCGTTTTGAAAAACCGAGGTCCAAAAACGAAGTGTTCTCAAAAGTAAAACCAGGTTAGAAAAACATTGTATATGATATAAATAGTGAAAACAAGACTTGTTCGGTAAAAACCAAGTCTCCAAGGTCGTATATCACGTGCGTACGGTTTTGATCGTTTTTCACGTGTTAGACCGATTGACCAAGATACAAAAGTGGTTTTTATAAAATAATTTTTTGGGAACATTTTAAAAATGCTCAAAGGTAAAAACAGGGTTTAAAATGATGAAAACCACGGAGTTGGTTCGGGCGCCAAAAACCGAACGCCGAAAGCCGAATGCCGAACGCCGACCTAGGTGGTTTAGGTGGTTTGACTCTTTGAGAACCGAGACTTGAATTTATTGTCGGTTTTGATCACAAAAGACCGACTCGACTAAGTCTTCAATTCTTGATCTTGTCCTTGAGTCTTTTTGGTCTTGTTCCAAGCCATTCTTCACGCCTTGAGTTATTCAACGAAACTTTTCATATCCACGGCAGTTTGGCAATTATCAAAACCTGTCAGAAATGAACACGACTTTAGTTTATCGTACAAAGTGTGTTCCAACAATTTCCCCCTTTTTGATAATGGCAAACAAGACGGGGATATGCATGGGGTTTTGATCTTTTTTTTGAAAAAAAAATTCCCCCTTAATAAGAATTCCCCCTTAATAAATGCATAGCCCTTATCTTCCCCCTTTTGACATTAACAAAAAGATTTTTAATAACAAAAACCATAAAGATTGTTTGGTGGTCCCAAAGTGGTGAAATACAAAGTCTAGAGGGGGGGGGTGAATAGACTTTGTTACAAGTTTAAAATATTTTTCGTTTCTTTTGAAAACGAGAAAATGAGTGTTAATCTAGAGTCCTTGTAAACTTTAGATTGTGTGCGGAATTTGGTGGGTGGAGTGAGCAGTAATTAATATGGATAGGTTAGTTTTCACAGTTAATATAATTGCAAGTAAGAATAAAGATAAGAAAGAGAGACACGCAAACTTTAACGAGGTTCGAAGGTGGGGTAATCGTTCTACGTCCTCAAAATCCACTATGTAGTTGGTTGTTGAATAATGAACCAACAGTTACACTTGTGTGAATTTCTGCACGGTATATCTTCACAAGACCAATGTTGCTACTGCACTCGTGCTGGCTTTGTTGTTCCTTCGAAGGTCAAGCTTCTTCAACAACTGCAAGATCCGAACAATAGGACTTGCAAGATCAACTTGTAAGAGAGTTGACCTACCCCCTTTTAATCAATAAGTTTGATCAAAAGTAATATCCTTCAACGTGGTGTGGTGCTTGAGGCAAGGAAACCTTCAAGTGTTTACACTATAGCTTTTTGGAAGGAGGAGAAGTTTGCTTCTGGATAAGGAGTTTAGAAATCTCTCTTTATCAAGCTTTTTGGGCTAACTGTGAATGAGATAG